AATCAAATGCAGTCTCACAAATATTTTATCTTATAAGCAAATTTTCTGTGCTTTCGACTAAAGTATAAAATCTTACATTAGTATAGCTATACTTTAGTTGAAAGCACAGAAATGTTGCTTGTAAGATTAAATATTTGTGAGACTGCATTTGATTAAACTTCATTCATATTACTTAAATTATATTATATAAGCTTTAATCATTTTAAATTAATTTATAACATTTTAACATTCAAGTTAGAAAAATAATATTTTACATTTGTAATATAATAACATTACTTCATATAATCAAGGTGTCATTTATAATATTTAAATAAATTAAATCAACGAAATATAAATTACTGTAATTTTAAATCTCTAACAATCGTAACTCTTATAATACCACCAAAAAATAAACATAAACGATACTTGATACATTTATAGTAATACAGTACAGTATATATCACATTTAGCTAATCTATGGCATATACATTTGAGTAATATAAATTATTTAACGAATGGTTAACGTGGGTTAATTTAATTAACAAATGAACAGTGTCGAATTAAAATGAGCAAGTTTAGCTAGCATATTCTGGAGTGCCCGGTGGCGATGTGGCATATTTTTGCTTGGTGTTTGTCCCATTGACTCCTTGGCCATTGAGTGGTGGGGGTGTGGTTTGGGTGCCAAAGTGGGCCCTCCCGACCCTCTCGATGTAATCTCGTTGACTGATCGTATAAATGGGCGGATTGTCGGCCAAACCGTAGGCATTCCTATCTTTCGTATCCGTGGCTATTGTCTGGTTATTCACGCCATTCGTGTGACTCATGACAGCACCGGTAGTAGTGACGGCCTCCTCGTGTGGTTTCGGTGATCGCAGCTATAGTTGGAAATTGTTTTTCAGTTTAATATTTGGTGTATAATTAAATGCAAGTAAAGATTGGTTTAATTAGTATTGTTTTCATTATAAATATATGTATATTTGTGCTAGTTTAAAACAACATATTTGTTAGTAATTAATAAATAGTTTTTATGTTACTTTTATATACATATTGTAAAATATGCCCTCGCTATTCATATATATACCATAATTTAAAATATATTTTTTCATCGATTAAACTAATTTTAAACTTATATTCTGCGTGTGACCCAGGTTATACTGTATTTTAAAGCATTGTATTCATAAAACTATTGAACGGCACTTACTTTGTCTCTCCGATTGAACGCATAGACCGATGTATAGCCTAAACCTCCGATTCCCCCGAGAAATAAGGCTACCGATCCATAGTCTATGGCCAGTAGGGGCCAAATACCGACACTGGCGATTAATCGCGCTAGGTCATTCAAGGGATCCACCTAAATATAATATAACATTAAAATTAATGAAAAGCATAATTTTGCAAAAATCCTAAATGTATTACAATTTTAACCCAAACGTAGGGCAAAACGGCTTCACGGATATCACCGAAACCACTATTCATGTGAAATGTAAATATAAAATAGTTTTAAAAACTTCATTATCACAGCAATTGAATTGAGTTTAATGTATATATTTATATTACACGACATATGCCGACGGCTCGAGTTTAACGTTCACCTGAACGCCAGCCCTCACTCTCAGTG